GTTTCCCACCAACTCCTTAACCCACCGATGTGGGATGGAAATTTGACATAATTCAACATATACCACATGTTCTTCAAGGCAACATTTCACTGTAGCGTCATTGATATTGCCTGAATATCAATGAAGCATTAAAGATTTGTTAAAAAGAGAATCTTTTTGCTAATACAACACCTTTTTTTTTTTGGAATATTTATATTGGAAATGTCTCATACTCAGTAAAATGAAAGATTCACTCCGTCTAATATTTTCTTGAGAATGTCAACTTTAGAAGATAAATCTGCAGGGAATTAATACTCATATTTATGTGAACTTTAAAACTGACAAACAATTAAATAGAGATCAATAATCCACTAGAAATGATTTTAGGAAAAGCAGAAAAAATTATTCACATTTTAGCTAATTTCTAAGGCTTCTTAATGTCACTCAAAGAAGCCACTGCAATTGGACTTCTCACATAATGAAGGCGATCAGTCCATAGCAACTCCCCGGGCACATACCCATCTTTTACTGCCTTAGCATCCTTAACTTCAATTGTCAACTTGAAGCTCTTCTCTTGTCCAATGTGATCGAACATCAAGACGCTCGGCTCTACAGAAACTGAAAACATTCGTCGTGGCAGACGAACGTTGGCAGCGTATACGCCAGGGCTACCAACGTTTTTGAGTGTGCGAGTGATGGTGACAGGAGCTGAGGGAGAGATATTAGGAATTGTTATTGCAGGATTGTTGAAATCCAAGAGATTAAGACCATGTTTCTTGTGACACTGATAAGTTGATCTTGTTCCTGAAAATTTTGTAATGTTCTTTTGGTTGTAACCAAGTGAACAGAGAAAGTCCAAGTAGTCATTCACAGTCAAGTCATAGACCAAGCCAGGATTCATGGCGCGATTCGGGCGCATGTGTCCAGCACCATAATTAAATTGTGTTGCTTTGTCTTTCTCCGTTTCATCACGCATTGGATTACCAGTGTTGTCTCTTGTTCTGGCTGTAAAAAGGTACATTTTAAGTTAGTGAAAGAATGTTGGACAATTGCTAACTAGTAGAGTACCTAATAACCACGACGATCATCAGTAATGGTGGAGCCAAATAGCTGGAAAATTACACTATTTAGATAGGTAATTTTTAAGGTGTGTGTATATATATACACACACACTATGTATTGAGTCACCTTGAGTTATTGTGTATTTACTTCTTTATATTTTGACACCTCTTAATGAAAATCCTGGATTCGCTACTGATCAGGTGTCAGATTTAGCTCATGAAATTATAACTCGCTCAAGTTTGGACGAGTTGAGCTGGACATATATTCATTGGCGGATCAATTTGGGCATAGGAGATCAAGTGGCATTAGTTCAACGTACCTGTACTCATAATAGCGGATCTAATGGCGGCGGGACTCCAATCAGGATGGAGGCTCTTGAGAAGGCCAACTACACCAGCGACATGGGGGCAAGACATTGAGGTTCCAGAAATCATGTTGAAGCTAGTCTTACGTTTATCGTAGTCTTCCTCTGTAGGATTTGCTGCTTCACTGTACGCAGCTATGATATCCACTCCTGGTGCAGTAACATCAGGCTGCAGGAATAGACAGAGACGGATCCAGAATTTTAGATTTGACGGCTAATACTTTTGAAATTATGAGTTCAGAATCGTTGAGACTATACTAAGTCTACACATATATTTATGTTCCATGATGCAGTTAAGGCTGCATCGGCCCTCAGATCAAAAGGGATGTTTGTTCACAGAATTGATTAGGACATTGAGAATGAAGTTGCTAACCTTGAGAATCTGAGGAGTTACAGAATTAGGACCAGTAGAAGAGAATGAAGCCATGAATGGAGCCGGCTTTGTGCGCAACACTGTCTCAGGAGTTGTGATATACGCACGAGGATCTCTGTAACAATTATCGGCAGTTAGAATTACAAGTACTTGAGGATATACATATATACATTGACACTGAAAAGAAGGAAAAGAAAAAGAGATATATAGACAGACTTAGAAGAAGCGATGTATTCAAAGACTTGAACGCCATCTGTATAATTGACATGTATCGCTGGAAGGACGTGAGGGATGGCGAAAATTTCGCTTCCAGTAGTCTTATTGTTACAAAGGATCATTCCAACAGCACCAGCTAGAGCTGCCTGATGTCCTTTATCAATTAACGCGGTTTCTCCTCTGAGGCAGGCTAATATCTTGCCTTTCACTTTCTTTGGATCCAATGTTCCTTTCTTACACCTTATCCTGCATCAGCAAATTATAATACATGTCATGATCACAAAGAAAAACTAGTATAACGTTAATAAGCGAATAATACATAGCATATTACAGTAGTACTCCCTCCATTTTAGTTTATGTGAACCTATTTGACTGGACATGAAATTTAATAAAGAAAGACAAACTAGTGTGAGGGCATCCAGGTGCAGTGAGCTCCGCTATGCGCAGGGTCCGGGGAAAGGCCAGACAACAAGGGTCTATTGTACGCAGCCTTACCTTGCATCTCTGCATATGTCATGACATTGTGTGACTATAAAAAGATTCTCACTAGGGTAAAATAGGAATTTTGAAGTTAAATTAGAAAGCTATCATTCTACTCGGGATAGACTAATAAGGAAATAGTGTCACATAAACTGAAATAGAGGGAGTAGTAACTAATTTCATCCTTACGCATCATTGGTCGAGGCATTGGCAGCTTTAGCTTGTGCAGCACTGATTAGTGGATAGAAATTTTCTTCGGGCGTGGTTGGTTTCGAAAGGCTTGTTCCCTTTAAGAGCAATCCATTCTGCAATTGAACACTGTTTTGTATATTGCGATCCAGGGTGCTTGCTGCTACTGTTATAATCCAGGGAGCAACATTTGTAACAGTTCCAGAATCAGGTCCATCATTACCAGCTGATGCAACCACAACTATACCATTCTTGACAGCGTGGAACGAACCAATGGCGAGCCCGTCCTCCAAGTAATCAGAAGGCGTTCCACCAAGCGACACAGATATCACATCAACCCCGTCGTGTATGGCTGTATCGAAGGCTTTGAGAATGTCGGCATCCATACATCCTGCACCATCCACAGGAGGCCAACAAACTTTGTATGCAGCCACTCGGGCATGAGGAGAACCTCCCTTTGCTGTCCCATTCGCCACGCCAAGTACACTCGCTCCGTGGACTATGTTTCCAGCAGCAGTTGATAAAGTATGAGAGCCATGACCATCATAGTCGCGTACTGTGCTCATTGATGCACTTACATTTCCTCCGCTCGCGATGTAGCCTTTATTGAAGTACCTCGCTCCAATAAGCTTTCTATATACATTATAGTAAAATTCTTGTTAGCATATTTCTTTAGATCATACTAGTGGTGAAAGAAAAAGAAAAGGGCAACCCGGTGCACTAAGCTACGGCTATGCGCGGGGTCCGAGAAGTACCAGACCACAATGTTCTGCAAGAGGCTGTCTCCCCTGCTTGAACCCGTGACCTCCTGGTCACATGGAGGCAACTTTACGAGTTACACCAGGGCTCCCCTTCACTAGGGGTGAAAGAGGGATAACAAATAAAGCATACTTATTGCAAGAAAAACCAGCAGTGGTGTTGTCATTTTGACAAATCCCTTTCCATCTTGAAGGAATTGGTCCAAACCCTTCATCACTAAAGCTCTCTGATTCAGGCCAAACACCTGTTGAAAGAGCGCAATTATTTAAAACAATGTACTGCAGTAAAATGATGATATTGTTTACTGAGACAAATTAACAAGTTTAACTTCAATGCAGGATAGTAACACTATCAGGTCAGCTAAAAGATTAATTAGCAGTCCATAAAAATTGGTACTAGTAACGCGAAAAATAAGACAGGTTAATAAACTGACGTTGTATATAAGTTAAATCCAAATATCAATGGTGCAGCACAACAAACAGACTAGGAATCATAAAAAATGGCAGACCCGTGCACTAAGCTGGTTCCGGGGAAGAGCCGGACCAGGGTCTATACATTTTTGCAAGAGGCTGTTTCCACGGCTCGAACCCATGACCTTCTGGTCACATGGAGGCAACTTTACCAGTTACACCAAGACTCCTCTTCAGACTAGGAATCATGATCGATCAAAATAGGTCTTGGTGGGCATAATTACCTGTATCAAGATTCGCGATGATAATGTCTTGGCCAAATCGAGCCTTCTTCCACAACGAACTTGGATGAACGACGCCGTTCTTTTCCAGCATCATGAATTCCCATGAATGAGTTGTGTGTAGTTTTCTAGCTTTATTCAAGAAAATAGAGATCACACTCGGATGCCCTGCATTATATTTTTTTCACAAACTTAGTATGCCTAAAACAACAATAACAACAATAACAACGATCCAGTGCAATCACATTTGGGAGGTTAGTGTTAGAGAGGCTGTTTCTGAAAGACCCTCGACTCAAGAAGACGAAAAGAGACAACAATATATAAGTATCATCGATAAAAACCATAGAAAAAAATAACAACATCATAAGAACAAGAAAATAGACGGAAAGCACAACAATAACCAGAAGATAAAATCCGGCCTAAAACATTAATCATATATTAATATTACTAGATTAGATACGTTTCAGAGTTCAAAATACAATACACACGTTGAATCTCCTCCACTTGATCATCTTCAAGGACAGCAGCAAAACCATTTATGTGTCTTTTATATGAGTAGAAGATGGCATCCTTAGCCTTCTCTTTACTGCAATATTTTTTTTTTATACTGTCAGTACATATAACTTAAACTGAAGAAAGAATAGAATTAAAATAAAAACGATGATAAACAAATAATTGACAATATGTAGCACGATAAATACCTTCCCAAAAACGAACCAAGAAACTCATGATGAGAATCTACCACACTATGAAGATCAGCAGATGTTACTCCTGGACCATGAGAGTGCTCCCCCAAGTACACTATGTACGACTGTTTTAATAATCCAAAAAAAAAAACCCACAAAAAATAAGAAAAATAAATGGGATAAAATTAATTGGAAAGAATTAAAGCTAATGGCTATATACAGAGGCGAATCCAGGATGTAATAATAGGTTCAACTTTTAAATACTTACTATTGAATACGTCACACGTTTGAAATTATAAGTTCAACACTTAATATTTATGTTCCTCTAAATATAGTCAAACCTCTATATAATAACCTCGTTTGTTCTGAATATAAAGAGATGTTATAGAGAGATTTGACTGTATATATAAAAAGTCGACTAGTGGTGCTCATTGCATGCTACAAGTTTTCTGAGTTTTTTGGCTCTGCAAGCTACAAGTTTTTTTCAGTTTTTCAACCAATAGCCAATGGTGAAATCAGGATTTTTGTTTAGCAAAAGTAAAATATGACTTATACACAGTAAAAAATTTCGGCGAAAGGCAAATAACTTACATTCTTGACTGCAAGAGCTGGTGTTAATGATACACAAAAAAGAATTAGGAACAATGTTAGATAATTTGACAATTTGGACGATAACATTCTGCTTCTTCGATGCAAAATTAAATCTTCGTTGGTAATCATGGCAAAAAAACGATAAAAAGGAAGAAGAAAAATTATGCAACTTCTAAAGAGAATATATATATAAATATATACTGTACTTAATAGTGGCTTAAATCTACAAGGAGTCTTAAAAGGATTAGAATTTTTATGTTATTAGGAGACGGTTAATGGCAAAGTAAAACCAATTCAAATCAAGAGTCGTCCTATGTAATAGATAGCTAAGTACTTAACGGATAATAATTACTATATCATATCATCTTATACAATTATTAATAACAATAAAAGGCAGCCCGGTGCACTAAGCTGTCGCTATGCGGGGAAGGCCCGGACCACAAGGGTCTATTGACCGCAGCCTTACCTTGTATTTCTGCAAGAGGCTGTTTCCACGGCTCGAACCCGTGACATCCTGGTCACATGGCAACAACTTTAGCAGTTACGTCAAGTCTCTTCTTAATGACAATTGATGAAAATGTCAACGTTAAATTACTAATTACCTCTCATCTAACTGATGAATTCTACAATACCACTTGTTCAGTTCAAAGTTTTTATGATAACATGCCATATTTTTTTCAGACTAGTCTTAGGATACGCGCGTTGCGCGTGTACTTTAGCTCAAGTGAGTAAATTATTTTTAAAAATTGCTTAAATATTAATATTAAAAATTGTGTTTGAGTTATAAATTGAAAATGTAATTAAAATAAATTGGAATTGAAACTTTTGGTCAGTTAGAGCACGAAATAGGTTGCATTTTCTTTTATAACTTCTAAAAGATGATAAAATTTGTAACTAAAGGGAAATAAGAAAATTATTTTTAACAATTTATAGTCTAAAGATTAACTAACGGTGAACCAATATTCCACCAAAACTAACTAAATATAAAGACTTAGAATTAAATACTTATATTAAATTAAGAAAGAACCATAATTTCTCATATCCTATAGTTTTGCAAGTAACAAAGATCAACAAAATTAAAAAAAAAATATAATTAGAAAATACTTTTACTCATTTAAACAATATTTTATTTAATATGAATTGTGTATCTAATCATAATTCATTCTTTACTGTAGTTGAATAATGTATTTAAATCCGGCTACACGAAATTTTTGGACTCCAAGTTTTATCATAAATTATTGTTTTCACTATAGCAATATTTTGAAGTGAGCCAATGGCAATCACTAAAAAAGGTGACCTCAAAGTTCATTTTTTTTTATTTCTACTCAAACATAATGCTACTTCTTTTATTAAAAAAAATTAAGAATTGTTAACTGGTAAATTTTTTTATTTTGATGTATTCTAAAATAAGTAATAAACTTGAAATCTATCCTAATTTTACATATTCCGATGAAGGCTTAATATGTTTAAATTTAATTGGAATAACTCAAAGTTCAAGATCTCCTATTTCAATGCAAACTCAGTACTATATTATTTGTTATTACTATGAGTTTATTCATGTTTTTCGACTGGAGTATATAAAAATATAGCCTCCTCATATAAAGAAATAGTTTTTTAATAGTAATTAAGATGGTCAAAATTCCATAACAATAAAAGTAATAATTTTGTAGTTAAATTCAAAGTTGTTTTTAATAAATGTTTAGTTCATTAAAATTTTAAAATAACTGCAATATCTTACCCAACTCCTACTTATAACCAAACATCGAAAATGAAATACTCGTAATACTGAAAGAAATTAAGACAATAATGTGTGATGGAAAAAATTAAGATAAACAATGTATAATGAGCGACATTGTATTTTTTAAATGTTTTTCTTGTTTTAAATGTGAAGTGGTTATTTGAATTCAAAATATGAAGCAAAAAATAAATATCAAAATTCAAAATATTTTTTACAAATATAATTTCATTCTTTTATTATTTATTAACGGCTATACTTGTTTAGCACATCTCTTTTTTCTTTTCGTTTTCTTGCCATCTCGTCTATTCTTTCATTTATCTGTTCTGGTTTCTTCTTATTTCTCTTTCAAAGGAAAAATCAATTTGCCTCATGTCGGATTTTATAGTGAAAATTTCAAATATTAACTCTGTATATTAAGGAAGAAAATTATATTTATTATACATGATTCAACTAACACTGTGTTTGGATCATTGTTCCCCATCGTTTTATAATGTATCGTATTGTATTGTATTGTACTGTATTATATCGTTTTGATGGATACAACGTTTGGATAGACTGTATTGTTTGCTGTTGTTAAATAACATCTTTATTGTTTGGCTTGACTGTATTGTACTGTACTGTACTGTTAAGTTTACTAAAATACCCTCAATTATTTTATTAAAGGTTGTAAAGAGGTATAACACTTGAGACTAATGGTAGGGTCGAAGCATCTATATCTATGATTATTTTTTGCTATTTACATGTTAAATGGCATGTACTTGTCAAAATATGTAGTACTAAATGCTATTCTTTGAAAAATGATATATCAGATCTAATACGGACACAAGTAGAAGATAACTAAACAACCACAATATAGAGAAAACACATGAAGTGGAATGATATTGTTCCATATCTCAAATAATTCCAAACTTAAAGTGCATAATATAATAAAAATTTCTAGCAACATGACATATAAAATTCATATCGATCTAGTCAAAGTCTATAAAATCCTCAATAGCTAAAGCACAAAAAATATTTAGTCTAACTCAATTGCCAGGTGACGACATCAAGGTTAGTAAAAGAAATTTGAGGTCTTCCAATGGACACCCAATCAGTGTGCGGCACAAGTCTACATGTTTACAAAGAAATATATAAGCTTTCATGTGCATACTAGGCTCTAAATCCAACACTTGTACCATTTGCCATATCTCACTCTCAGGAATAGGTGGCATAGTTGAAAGACGATCAATTGCATTAGCCAAATTATTCATCTCACCTCTCAACATATCAGTCATGCCTTCAAGATGATCATGTTTAGATTTTTTATTCCTGCTAGAAGTCGGTACCTCTGAATATGCATTAGATTTACGTGCTTCCTGAGTTGATTGATATTGCTCATGTTGTCCATGTTCCTCGATATTTTCCAAAGAGGCAGCATTCATGGAAATTAGTTCATCTACCTCATCAATAATCAATGGACTATCACGTGATTTTCTCAAATTATTACAAGCACCCCTTCTCAAATTATTACAAAGCTTTAATTATTTATTCATCACATCTAACTTTCCCTATATAAATATATAAAATATTTACCTTCTGGAAGTTTAGCGGGTCTTGTCTATTTAACGCTTCTTTCATGAAAAAACAAGCAGACAAATACACCCCATTAGCAATCTGAAGTAGTTCAACATAAAACGATATGAAAGTGATGTAAATTATACAAATACATAATGATATGAAAGTGATAACAAGCAGACAAATACATAAAGTAGTTCAATGTAAGGAAAGTGACGTAATAAGAGCAATGATGCAACAGAAATAATACTATAATTCATAGCCGTTGATATTTATATTTCATATGTTTACAAAAGTGAATTGACTACAACGACTCCACTCAACGAAAATAGATGAAAGAGAGGATACCATCGTTGGAAAGAGACCTAACCTGTAAAAAGTTGGTTGGAAACTGGAAAGAGACGATACCGTCTGTTGACTTGCACGGCAGAAACAAGATGAGACANCAAAGTTGGTTGGAAACTGGAAAGAGGCGATACCGTTTGTTGACTTGCACGACAGAAACAAGATGAGACAAAGTACTTATTATGATGAATATAATATAAATAATAGGGTCAAGGGTAAAATTGAAATATAGAATAATAAGTGTGGGCATAATTGGAGACGAAAATACGAAACAATCCCACCACACGGATTTGGTTGTTTCATAAAATGGGGTTTTTTATTGTTTTGGAACAATGGATTAAACAATACGATACAATCAGTTTTATATAAACAATCAAAACAAACATTGTATGTGAGGTAACAATACAATACAATACAACCGGAAACAACCATCCAAACACAGTGTAAGGATACTTTTACATAAATGTGATCTTACTCTAATTTAATTCCTAAATTTTAGGACTTCTTGCCTAGTTCAAATAAGTAAATATTTAATAATCAAAATTTTAGTCGATTTCAAAGTACTAAATATTAGGGTAATAATTAAATGATTATTTTGTCTAATGCGAATTCTGTCTTTTAAGGATAAAAAAGGCGAACGACATTTTGTTAAGGGCCTTCGTGCTTTTAATATAATATATAAATATAGATATAGATTCTACTATGAAAATAACCTCCCCCATCTTAATGTTAACCGATTTAAGCAAATGTTCTTTTTTTTAATATTTTTTTGGTGAAAACAGCACGGGCTAGTCAGTTTTCAGATTTGTAATTGAAAAATAGTCAGCGTTTGCAAAGTCATTGAAAAATAGCCACTATTTTGCTACAACACGGAAAGTTCCAGCATAATATACTGGAGATTGGTGCACTTGTATATGAACTTCCAACATATTATGCTGGAACTCCAGCACACGAAAAGTTCCGGCATTATATACTATGCTGGAATTCCAGTATATTATGTTGGAACTCCAGTATATTAAGTTGAAAGTTCACATGTGAAAAATTCGAACTCTAGTATATTATGCTAGGATATTTTTCGAATTTTGAACAGTGTTTTTCTTCAAATTTATCTTTACATAAAAAGTGGCTATATTTCGATTATTTTTAAAAATATGACTATTTTTCAATTACCACTTATAAATCTGATTATTTTTGAAATTTTCCCTTGTTTTAGGCTACCGTTGAAATTTTGTCCTTAATTTATAAAGTTGTGCAAATATAGTCATTGGAAAATTATCCTTTCCGGACAACTTTAGACTCGACTCTAATGTTTACTTATATATTTTAGTTTGCTCAAAAAATGACAACTTACATAATTTTAGACTGCAGTCTAATAATTTTTCATTAGATTTTCAATTTGCCGAAGGAGAACCTTGGCGTAATTAGTAAAGTTGTTGTCGGGTGAACAGAAGATTACGTGCATTGGCGAAGCCAGAAATTTTATTTAGGGTGTTCAAACTTGAAATAAGTAAAAAAAATCTCAGATAAAGGGTGTTCAATATATGTTATATACTATTAAAATCTAATATTTTACCTATATATAATGTAATTTTTCGACGAAGGGTGGTCAGTTGACCACCCTTAGGGATATGTACTTTCGCCCCTGGTTACGTGTTCGAGCCGTGCAAATAGCCTATTATAAAAAAAACAGGGTAAGACTGTATACAATAGATTCTTTGTGGTTCAAGCTTTCTCCGAACCCCGTGTATAACGGGAGCTTAGTGCACCGAATTGCCCTTTTTAAATTTTTAGTTTGCTCAAAAAAAAATTAAATCATACTTAATTTTAAAAGGTCCATCAATCTATATCTATATTATATTAAAAACACGAAGGCCCTTAACGAAATGTCGTTCGTCTTTTTTACCCTTCAAAAATAAGTTTATACTGGACAAAATAGTCATTTTATTATTTTTTTAATATTTAAAAATAGTCATTTAATTAATTCTCTACTATTAAGGAATAGTCATCTAATTATTTCCATAAATTATTTCCATAATTAATTATTTTCCTAATATTAACAATCTAAAAAAAATCGTACACCACATAATAGGTAAACTTTTCGTTCAAATCAATTACACACTAGAAAAGATTTTTGTTCAACTCCAACTATATTTAGTCTCCTTTTAGGTTTCATCCTTAAAATAATTCTTGTTCGAGCAGCACAAAACTAATGGTTTTGCTTTCTCTTTCTTAGAGCAAGAAGCTTTGTATTACGTATTTATATTAATAGTTAAATTTTACATTCAACTTGAAAACTTTGTATTAGTAGTTGAATTTTGCATGCACTTATTTGTATTAGTAGTTGAATTTTGCATGCACTTATTTGTATTAGTAGTTGAATTTTGTATTTACGCATTTGTAAATATTATATTAATAGTTGAATTGTGTATTCACGTATTTTATTAGAACTTGAATATAATACACTGTCTTTAATTTGTATATGGTGTTTGTAGGCATCTGTTACAAGATTAGTGTGTTGTAAGCCATCATCTGAAAAGCTTTCTTTTCGATAATGGTTTTGGTCTGAAATGTAATTAAATTTATGTGTTCTTTATCTTACAAACCTTTTTAAATTTTTATATAATTCTTCGTTTCATATTTTTGATTTAGCTTGGCTTATTTTATATTTGATATCTGACAAACTTATGTTAATTTTCATATAATTTTTGTTTCATATTTTGGATTTAGTTGATTTCATATATGATTTATTTATAAATTATATATAGGTTATTTGGACAACTACGGTTCATAACAGAAAATTAGTTAGATATTTGATCTAAACCTTATTAAATAATATTATTTTTTTCCTATGTTGTATAATTGATAAATTCCAGCCAAATTGCCCGTCATAAACAAATTATAAATTAGATTGTCTCTTGTAATATCGATTCCACATCGAACAAAATAGTCTTTTAATTATTTTTCTAATATTTAGGAATAGACATCTAATTATATTTTAATATTTTGGACTTAATATCAACTAAACTTTGTGGATTAAATTCTTTCTTATTTGAACTATATAATATAAATATATTTGTAAAAATAAAAAAAAATAACACATGAAAATTACATTAAAATTTTCTCACTTTTAATTTCTTTTAGGTTTAGGAGTCCTTTATTTTCATAAAAGAATTATTAAATATTAGGTGTTGGTCAATTGTAATCCATGAAAAAATAGTACATTATCTTGCATAGATCGAGAGAGCATGTCCATGAGTGATAATTTTTACCCCTTTTTTTAAAAAAAAAATATAGATATATAAAGGAGGATAAATAAGTAAACAATGATTAGACTTTATAAATTTATAGATGTACAATAAATTAATTCTTTAGAAATTCAATTATGTATTTTAAAAAATAAATTAATCAACAAAAAACTTTCTATATTTATTAATTTTTTATATCTATCTAAACTATATTATTTTAAAAGCACAAATTCCTATAAAAGTATTGATCAACTTTTTTTTTAAGTCAACTAAAAATTGCTACTCTATGTTTTGGTATATTAGCTAAATCTTGGCATTCCTTTTCCTTGAATTTTGGTTAATTAACAACTTTCCTAAAAGTTTGTATCATATGAGAACCTATAGTTGGTGAGAATTACTTATCAACTAATATTTATTCCCCAATAAAATCAATTATAGCATATGCAATTAAGTCTTTACTCACTGATTGCTTATTAAAATTTTATTAAGGTGGTATTTCTTTAAATACAAAATGAAGAATTGTTTCTAGAAACCGAAATCAATTGAATAGGCAGCATATATAAATGAGTATTTTCACAGGAATTGAAAACTATATGGGAATATTTAAAAAATCAAAAATATATAGGAATTATCACCCCCCCAAATAAAATATTTTTGAACTATTTGGTTTACTTGGCATGATGATTAAGTTATTTTTAACAAAATAATCCACTTAGATAGGATATACGCGCAACGCGTGTACCATAAGACTAGTTACAAGAAAAATAAAAATAAAGTAATTTACTAAATAACTGATAAAAAAGAGACAACTAGCAAACATTACGCCTTTTAAGTATTACCACAATCAACTAAACCATCATCCGCCATTTTTATCACCAATTACCTCTTGTTGCTAGCCTCCACCATTAGTAGCCACCTTACAATACCATCCACCTTCACCCTTGAACACCACCAACAACCAAAGGTGGAGCTAGTTTATTAGGAACGGTTCGATATTTTTTTCTTAAACATTATATTTGTTCTAGAAAATTTATTAAATATATCTTAATATATAATTACGAACCCAGTAACTAACAAGAGTTATGTATTCTATGACAAATGCAGAACGCATAAGTTTCAAATCCTGACACCGCCTCTGCCAACAGATATTTCACAATCAAACCATCATTGTATAACCATTACTTCTGGCCATCACTGCATAACCACCAGCCACCATTAAACAATTACTATCGCCTATAATCACATACACATTCAAATGCTTAGAAATAATTCGTCTT